CAGGTACGTTGAAGCAGTTCTGCAGAGCTTGTATGATTTTGATGGCAAACTAAGTCATTCTGTTTCTGATAAGATGTATTTTCTGTAAGCTTCAAGTAAATCATATTGTTCAAACGTGTTAAAACAGACATGTTTTGGAAAGTTGGAAAGTTTCAAGATGAAGCTGGGAGAAAAATAAAGCAGTGATATTTCCTTAGTGCTAGATGTGCAAGAGGGAAAAACCTGCTGGTTTTAAGAGCTAGAAACACCTGACATTAAATTGAATCTTGATCTCTTAGAGCTTGTTCTGTTACACATGTAAAAGCTTAGCGAGTTACAAAGCAGTTTTTTTCTGTTGTACATCTTTTTCTGTAAAAAAAGAAATTCCACAAAACAGCTATTATGTATTCATTGTAGCCTACATTGCCACTGTTTTTTAATGAACATCTTTGGTTGAAATTAGAAAAATAACAGCTGCTTCTGGAGTCAGGAGTTACGAATCCTCTCCACCAAAAGAAACAAGAAAATGATAGAAAATTCTTCCAGAATTCATCTCAAGAGGTTGTTCTGTCTGGCTTCTTGCCTCAAAGCATCTAAGATATTCCTGTCATATGTTTGTTTTACCTCTTCTTTACAACTTTCAATGATGGAGGTTCTATCACTGCTCAAGTCACTCAAGCTATCCCTGCCATTAGAAAAAGGAGATAGTTTGGGGAGGGGGTTTTTTTGCTGCCACCTCCTCTCATACTTTCATGTCCGATCTTAATTTTCCCTAGTTCGTTATAAGCCTGCTCTTTCTTATCCCATCCACAATGGTCATGAAGGACAACATTCCCTTCTTTGGAACTCCCTTCAGCGTGACTTAAGGCCAATATTGTTACTTTGTTCCTGGAGAAAAACCTCTCTAGTCTTTCAGTTTTTCCTTCTAAATCGAGTTTTTCAAACCTCTGATTAGTCTTGCTGCTCTCTCCTCTTGACTTTCTGGAATCAATTAATCTTTCTTGAAATACGGTGGTCAAAACCGGAAATAATATTCCAGCTGAGCAGAGTGGAAGGGTATTCCACCCTGTTTTATGTATGTATGGTAACTATTTATAAATTTTGTGTGATATTTTCCTTTTTTATAAAAGAGAGACTTTTTTGCTCTGTGATCTGCACATCCTTTTGATGACAGCCTTGACAGTTGCTTGCCGTATTATATTTAGACAGATGGTTCTTCTCTAAGTGTACAGCCTTGCATCTGTTCTTAATGGGTCGGGGGGTTATATCTTTGTGCAGGCCATTTCCCAAATTTGTCAAGGTTGTTCTGAATTGTAACCTTGTTTTCTAATTTATTTTATTTTTACTCCTCCACAAATTAATGCCAGCTGCAAATAGTGTAAAAAAATACCTTGATTATGTTATCGAAGTTATTGCTCAGTATTTTATATTGAGTAGACCAGACCACTGTCCCTTACTTCAACATTCCAATTTGAAAGTGATCCCTGGGTAACCAGGTTATAGTTTTCCAAGTAGTTTTTACCTACTATGTTTTCCTCGTTCTGTTCTTTGGGAATTTTATATGCTAGATGAAGTCAGAAGACTTGCTGAAGTTGGGAAGTATGATTTCTACTGAGTCTCAGCTTGGGTACAAAAATATTACTACTGCAAGTTAAAGTACAGTTAAAGTGAATACCACTTCATGTCAATGAGGTGCTTTTAATTTGTAAATATTTGTAGTAGCAGAAATTGGCAAGGCTCCACATGTCTTGTGCTCACAGTCATGTTTCCATATGAAGATTTACGAAAGAAGCTGTACCAGTCCTTTCTTTTCCCCTTGTCAGCCTTAATGGTGGGACAGAACCTGAGAAGGATCTCATTAATGTTAGAGGGTTTGGCTGATTTCTTCAAAGGCTTTACATTCTTTCTCAGCTCTTCTGATTTTTCTTGCTTAGAGCCTGTCTGACTTGTCTAAATGGAAGATTCTTGTGGTCAGACGTAATGAATTTGAAATGTGAAGGCATTAAGCTCTTGTACGGTTTTGGGTACAAGAAATGGACATGGAAGAGGGTTTCTGTGTAGGACGGTGCTGAATACTGAGGTGATGCTCAGTAACCTCTTTTGTCCTTTGCAAAGGCGGAGAAGGTTCCTCTGCAGCATTTTATGGAGGTTCAGAAAAGCCTGTTTAACTGAACTGTAGGACTTGAGATGTCTTCCAGCTTAGTCAAGCTAGAATATGAAACAGGGTGTTTTCCAGTAGTTTGGAAGAGGCGGAAGAACTGTTACCTGGCATACCATATGTCTGCAGTTGGATGTCAGAGTAGAAGCTGGGAATGTTGCTCTACCAATAGGTTAGTTATTCACATGGCACAAATGTGTATATATACCCAAGATAGCAGGTTTGCACTTGGCACCATTTTTCAGACTGGGAGAGGTACCCCTTCCTGCCAAGTTGTTATGAACAGAAAGTGAGGCATGAGACACCACATATTTTTCTGAAGCATGAAAAGTTCTAAGCCTACCGAAGTGTGATGTGGGCTGAAAACCATGGAGAGTTCTGCGATGTGGTAGTTTCAGAAATAAGGTGTCTGGCTCTAATTATTGACGTTAATCAAATGTTAGAGTCCTGTTTACATAAGAGAACCTATTTCTGATAGTGGTGTTGCTACAGCGTTTTTTTCTGTTTTTCACTCATGCTTGCCTTGAATGAATCCAGTCTATTTATCTTAAATTGTATCTAAACCTTTAAAACATATTGATATTTAAAATGTAGACTTTCCATATGACTTTAAAAAAAAAAATTATGCTGAATTGTCTGTACCTCTCCCTTTTTTTCAACCACTCATTTTCAGTTGTTTTTAAGTTGCTTTGCCTTTATCATGCCTGCAGAAGGTAAACAGTCTAATCCAGAAGTCTGAACTAAGCAGTGGTAGAATAAAAGCTATAAGTCACCAGTTCCCTAAACATTCTTTCTGTATACAACAATGTCAGATACTACATTTTATGACATTAATGCTACCAAGTGCTTCTAAATTTTCTGTTTGTTGCTTTGCTTAATATTTAACAGATTAGAAAGTGGATGGATTGTGAGCTTCCAAAGTATTACAAAGTACCTTTCCAAACTCCTGGAGAATTTTTGAGAGGGGATAATATTTTTCATTTTTTCAGAAAACTTTTTCATTTCCAAGAAAAGCAGTTCAACCTCGAATATATTGGTCAAGTGGGGGACCTTGATAGAATTTGTTGGTGAACTTTGAAATTATTTGAACGTAATGTTTCTACAATTGATATTCATAGATTTCTAGGTTGGAAAAGACCTTAGAGATCATCCAGTCCAACCGTCCCTAAATCCCCATTAAACCATATCCCTAAGTAGATCATCCACCCTATTCTTAAACACATCCAGGGATGGGGACTCAACCACCTCCCTGGGCAGCCTATTCCAGTGGCTGACAACCCTTTCAGAGAAGAAATACTTCCTAACATCCAACCTGAATCTGCCCTGACTAAGCTTATACCCATTTCCTCTTGTTCTGTCACCCATCACTAATGTAAAGAGCCCTTCCCTTACCTCCCCACCATCCCTTCTCAAGTATTTGTAGGCTGTAATCAGGTCTCCCCTGTTGCAATTTTTTAAATTGCAACAGCTTCAGAAAATTATTTTCTTCAATTAATGGAAGGCTTTTAATGCTCTTGCTCATAGCTGGGAAAAACAGAAAGATGACTCAGCTGCATGTGGATTTTACCACTAGTCTGTCTGTTGTGTAACTAATGAATGCTGCTAAGAAGTCTGCTGCCTATGGTAAATGAAACGTTAGTGAGATGATGGAGTGCTGGCACCTGAAATAATATCTGTTTTGGAAATTAGACGGGAAGCCTGGGTACTCAGTTGTTCTGAGGCGGTAAATGTCTGTGGGTTCCACTGATGGTATTGACATTAATCTCTCCACTGAAGCACTGGAAACAACATTCATTGTTGAGGCAATTAAATTAAATTAAATTAAATTAAATTAAATTAAATTAAAATTTCTATGTCAATGTGCCAACTGAATTTTAAATCTATTCTGTTGTAAATTAAACGTGTAATTTGACTGGTCTTAACTTTCCAGACACAGTCTCTTGGTCAGATTATTCACTTGTGTAGGTAGAATACGCAAGGATGCAATCAAAGAGCATTAATGACTGTGATAGCTATTAGCTGATATGAAGGAAGTATTCTCCTTAGACTGGTAGAGTGCACGATGGTCTAAACAGATGAAGAAGCCTGCTCAATAAAAAAATCTTCAGAAATAAGCAGGGTTGTCAAATGTGGTTTTGTGGCTGAGCTTTCCAATGTTTTCCTGTGGTAGTGCAGAAATAGGATTGAAACCTGTTGAAAACTTTTTCCATTAAGAGATATGTTACGTTGTAGATTTTTTTTTTCATGTATAGATTGACTTTCTCTTACATCCTTTGATCAATTTTCCTCCTAATAACAATCTATTCTTGAGGAAATAATTTTTCTTATTTTTTTCCCATTAATTTTTGAAGTTTTTCAATAGTTTTGCTGTAAAGACCTCTTTCCCCTCTTTCATTCTGTTAGTTTTTTGTTGTTGTTGTGTTTGGTTTTTGTTTAATTTGCTTTTCTCCAAGCATGGTTTTGTATCTGTGTCTAAATCCATCTTCATTTTTAGTGTGATTGCTTTTTCACTCTTCCATTTATTCTTTCGGAATGAGGACAGAAACATAGATCTTGTTCATCTTTGCTTTCATTAATTTGAGTAATTTTCTACAAAGGTTTTTGCATGTTTTTTTCAGGAAAAGAGGGATGGAGGGGAGATTGGGAATTGAAAGCATTAGGCAAGGCTCAGACAGGGATTGTTGTGACTTTTGCACTGGTAATTATTTCTGAACTTTCTGAACTGCTTCAAAACATGATCACATTAATGTGTGTGTCATTATGAGAGACAGAGAAATTTGTTTTTTTCTGAATTCTTACATCTCCTCAGAAAATTGTTTTAGTGTTACGTAATTGCCATTGTTCTTTTGCATGCTTTTCATAGCATCCTCCTGGGCAGTTGAGAAGGAAGTACAGTTCCTGCTCCACTATTTTCCTGGATGACAGCACAGTCAGTCAACCAAACCTCAAGTACACCATCAAATGGTGGGTTTTGTAATATTTTTTTTTTTTGCTAGAACCTGTGTTTTGTAAATGCATATATGTACACATAGCTCTGAGTCATCACTGAGCAAGCTTCACAGATCTTAGTTTTTGAAGTAGCAATTTTTTTTTATTCCAGTCATGCTCCAGAGCCACTGAATAGACTGAGCAAAGAGCATTACTCTGATTTTAGGTCTGTGCAGAATCAAACTCCGATACTTTATATCTCACCAGAAAGCAGCAATTAAGGATCTCACATTCCAGCAGCTGAAATCCTTGTGCTTCAACGTTCAGCTGGGTACTTGCTTTGGATGAGTTCTCAAAACTTGCTTGGATGCTTGTTTATCCAGAATTTAGGAATTACCTGAAACCTCCTGAAATCAAAGAGCTCTTTTCTGTTAATAAGAAAATGCTCTTTTTCTAAGCTTTCTTTCCAGTTTTCTGTTTGAAATGGAAATTAATTGCCTCCAGATTCATTTCCTTATTGAGTACAGGACAGCGGCAATTCACTGTGCAGCAGTGGTGCAGTTTGTGTGTGGTGTGCACATGTGCTTACCCTTGGGTGACATCTCAGATGTTCGTTTCAGGTTTCACCGGTGCCTTTTTACATTGGAGAGAAGTTAAATTTGTATTTATAGTGTATCGTTCTTTACGTTTTGTACAGTAAGAGGAAAAATAAGAGAACAAATGCTTGGATGTTGTGTTGTTTGTAGGATGGTTACCTGGGGGTACTCAAATGCAGAAGTTTATTAGGACGCAGTCTGTGTTACAAAGGTACTTACATGAGAGAGAAATGTATTCAGACTAACATGTCCAAAGGAGTTTGTACTGTTCATGGTCACTTAAACTTGTTCTTAATTTTTCTGTTTAAGAAAAAAAAGAGAGGAGTGGAGAAGCAATATGCAGTCAGACTGACGCCTAATTCCTCAACAGCTGTATCTGCCTGAAACAGTCTTGCTTTTCCTCAAATTTCCTCAATTAGTAACTTAATTCTGATGAACACTGGAAAAATGTTGTTAGTTTTTGAGGTGTTTTTTTTCCTCCTGGAATCTTATGCTCTTCTGCTCTAAAATCCTTTGCATGCAGATACTTCCAAGTGCAGCCTTTTGGGGAGGTTCCAGGTCCCTTTTAGCATTAGCATTGGAACCAAGACTGTTAATGGAGTGAAGAGAGAAGTTCAGTTGTCTGCAGCTGCCGAGAAGCTTTCTCAGCAGGCCATGGTGGCCAGCAGCAGCCTTCCGAAATGGGGAGCAGAAAGACAAGCTGGGGGGAAGCAAGGTGGTGACATTTGGGAGAGACTCGGGGTGCGTGGCGGGGGCAGAGCTGTAGGGAGAAGAGGGTGCATGTCAGGCTGGGAGAGCCAGCGCTGGGTCTGGGTCGGAGGATTTGTGCAGGGCTGGGGCCAGCTTGCCGGTGGTGGAAGGTCTGGAAGCTGCAAGGGGTCAGAGGGTTTGACAAGAGATTATGCAGGGTGAGAAACTGGACTCTGGCACATGAGGCCTCTGGTTGAGGAGTCTTTTCCTCCTCTTCTCTCCTGTCTGGCTGCATGTTTAACAGATTTAAAGGCTGGAGACATTGCAGATTATTGCTTTTGTAGTACAACTTTGTTTCTTGCCCCCATCTTCATAGTCTCTACAGATAAATGACTGTTGCACGTAGGTGAATCTATGAGGGATGTACCTCGGCCAGCTCATTTATTTCTCCTGGGTTGTGTTATGCACTGGTGTGTTTAAAATATTAGTGCATGTAACTGGAGATCTGCAGCATTGGAGGGGTGACCAGCGTAGGGTGATGGAAAGCTCCATAAATTTCTTTCCTGCATGCTGAGTGCTAGCTGATCCACTGTTAGAAAAAGCAGAATGAAACTTGGGTCTGAGTTAATCTATTACAGTTCTGAAAAACTTTCAGATTCTGATACAGATTTCTAAATAATAAATATTTTCTAAACTTAATTTGACATTTCGTTACAAAAGCAACCATATGGGCACCAAGCAGAACTCTGCACATAGATTCTTGCATCTGCTTTCATAAAGTGAGCTGGAGCTGCAAGTGTGTTCCTAGGGGCATAATTTAAAATTAGATTTTAGGACTAATTCATTTTGTGAATAGCTTTCAGTCAAATTAAATTCATTCATAAATGTGTTTTTTGTGTTGTGTCCTTTAAATGTCCATGGTACACAGGATCTTTTAATTCCTTAAATATGTATCTATAGAAAAAAATCAAAAAATACATAGTGCAGTAAGTTATTCAGGGAGTCGTCTTTCCAGGATTAAAGTAAGTAACTTGATGCCATAAAACCATAGGAGCCTGGTATGTGAGTCTGGTATGTGAGTAACTGCATAGAAAGATAGATAAAAGTTAATGGATTTAAATATAAAATCATAAGCCAACGGTGATTGAAGTATTTCTTGTTAGCCCAGCAGCGTTAGCAAACAATAAAAGAGAATGTCCAATGCCTGTGATGCCTTATCTTCAACCTTGGAAGTCAGTAGGAGTTTTAGCACTGACTTCAGTGGAGTAGGGCATTAAATGGAAGGCATGTGCAACGTGTTCTGTGGAATATGAGGATTTTTGTAAGGTACTTCATTACTAGTGAAAAGGAGGCACTTGGAATGTGCTGAAGAAATATTATAGAATCGTCTATTTACAGCAGTTTTCCTGGTATCTTACAATGAACAGAAGAAAATAGGCTGTTGAGCATACTTTTTGTCATGCATCGTGCTAGGTTTTAAATTTGCATGTTAATATGACAAATAATGTAATTTGACAGTCCTGAGATATTAACTCTGTATTTTTCTTTACAGTGTAGCTCTTGCAATATATTACCACATCAAAAACAGGTATGTGAGTAATGAAATCTTATACTGAAGATACCTTTAAACAAAACAAATGAACTGCCGAAATGATAAAAATCCATGCTCTGTTTCTTTCAAAACGTTGTTGTGTAGTATTCTTCTTATTTCCCATGTTATGAATGAGAAATGTGTTCTTTTAGGGTTTTTTTATATATATTATATTGCTTAGAAAAATAAAAACTAGATGATTACATACCATAAGAATCTGGAAGTACAGTTCAGCACTGAAAAACTTAAGATGATTCAATGTTTGGTTTTATGTGCACTGGGCACTTGTGCATTGTTGCATGTGTTGCAATTACGTATAAATCTGAATAGTGTCTTTCAGATTTATTTTTCTAGGCTGCACCTTTATAAAGTTAATGGTGTTAATCAATGATCAGTTAATGTTAATGGTTTTTGAAATAAAAACCATTAGTTATACATTAAGAGAGACATTGCAAATTGATGTAATTCAAGATGCCTCAGAAACAGCAAGTCCTCACTTATCTCTTCTGGTGTAGTATGTTTTAGATCTCTGCTCAGTTAAGTTGATTAAAATTGAATAGAAAATAGGTTCTCTAAAAAGTAACTTGGTACATAAGTTAGCTTTCTTTGTATTGAATTAAACTTTTATATCTTAAATTCCATGTTCTCAGGATATGTCACAGTGTCATAAAACAGTATTTCCTGACCTTCATAAGAAGAGATTGTATGAATACTTCAAGTGACTTTTGTGTCCATGGCTTTTCAATGTGTCTTTTCAGAGAACTTGGCTTAGATCTCGATCTTAACAAGCCACTTACACTTTTTTTTCTTCTGGACTGTAAGAAGTCCGACTAGAACAAAAGGAATTACTCATAAGTTTAAAGTTAAACTGGTACGTCATTCAGGACCATGTTTCAGATCACTGGAACCCATCACACTTCTTGATACAAGGCTGACATCTAAAGAGAAACCTTTAGAAGTGCAGAAGGGCAGAAAGGCTTAGAGCTTGATCCCTGCTGAAAGCTCTTAGAAAACTTTCCAAGACATCAGTAGGCCTTGGACTGAAACATGGTAATATGTGAAGCAAAAGTTGGAGTGAAATCTTTTCGCAAACTTTTCATCTCATTTCCCAGGAAATGAGGCGTGAGTGATCATGCTTGGATTACTTGTTTATCTGTGGTTCCCTTTTTCCCCTTTCCTCCATCGTCCATGGGGTAGAGTGGCAAACTAGTCATTTTTTACTATGCTTGACTAAATAATAGAGATCTCAAAGATAATCAGACTCTAAAGCTATGTGGAAATAAGTTATTCTTAAGCACTCTGTTCAGTATCATGCCAGCTGAATAGAAGGCTGGGTAGAATGGAGCGCATTAGGGACTACAAAGGGTGAGAAACTCCAGTAAGAGCTCCCAGTCGAGCAGGAGGAACCCAGAGTCAAAATGCACCGGACTTGCTTCGTGCCGATTGCCATGGAGCTGATTTCTGTCTGTAGTAAAATATGCTCATTCGTGATCTTACCGAACTTGATGTGGATTTGATCTACAGCTCGTAGACAGAGAGGCTAAACCTTTACAAAATAGAGTCCCCTGTCAGTGTCCTGAAAGCAGGTACATTCTGACTGTTGCCTTCTTGGGAAGCTTGCTCTCTGTCCCTTCGCGTTTGGGCTGGAGAGGTGATTTATTCAGGAAGAACTTCTGCCACTTCTCCCTCCTGAAGGTGTCCAGGCTGGGGAGGTGTGTTGGAAACGCATCCTCTGCTGCTCTCGGGGCGGATGGTCTCGGCAGCGATGCTGGAGCAGGCTCGCTTACATCAATTAACCACTCTAAAGTGAAGGATGCGAATCGACTGTTCTGTCCTCAATTGTCTCTGATTTAGGAACAGAGGGACAAAGTGATAACAGCAGTCAGTTGTACTTGCTGCTGAAGCAGCAATAGCAAAACATATGTTCTGTTTCCTGCCATTATAGGTGGAAAGGAAGTTGCTGACGTATGTGGTAGATTTTGGTTCATTAGGGGGGATGGGGAGTGAGAAACCACTGGAACACTTATCTAGGCTCAAGGTTGATTTTGACAGAAAATGAGTCAAGCATCTGCTTTGCCAGAGAAGAATTCTTTTCAGATAAAAAAAGAATCGGGGTCGGGGCAATCCCAAGCATAAGTACAGGCTGGGCGGAGAATGGATTGGGAGCAGCCCTGAGGAAAAGGACTTGGGAGTGCTGGTGGATGAGAAGCTCAACATGAGCCAGCGATGTGCGCTGGCAGCCCAGAAAGCAAATCGTATCCTGGGCTGCATCAAAAGAAGTGTGGCCAGCAGGTCGAGGGAAGTGATTCTGCCCCTCTACTCAGCTCTTGTGAGACCCCACCTGGAATACTGTGTCCAGCTCTGGAGTCCCCAACACAAGAAGGACATGGAACTACTGGAACGAGTCCAGAGGAGGGCCACGAAGATGATCCGAGGGCTGGAGCACCTCTGCTATGAAGACAGGCTGAGAGAGTTGGGGCTGTTCAGCCTGGAGAAGAGAAGGCTCCGGGGTGATCTTATAGCAGCTTTCCAGTACCTAAAGGGGCCTACAGGAAAGCTGGAAAGAGACTTTTTACAAGGGTGTGCAGTGATAGGACAAGGGGCAATGGATTTAAACTGAAAGAGGGCAGATTTCGATTAGATATAAGGAAGAATTTTTTTACATTGAGGGCTGCAACAGGATGGCCAGAGAAGTTGTGGATGCCCCATCCCTGGAAGTGTTCAAGGCCAGGTTGGATGAGGCTTTGGGCAATCTGGTGTAGTGGAGGGTATCCCTGCTCATGGCAGAGGCGTTGGAACTAGATGATCTTTAAGGTCCTTTCCAACCCTAACCATTCTATGATTCTATACTGTTTATTTGCTCCTTTTCTTTTGCACGTTACGCTCAAAACTAAACGACTTCCTAATATTCCAGACTCTCAACAATTCCAATTTTTTGAGAAACTGTACATGAAATAGAGAATTCCTTCATGTTTTCCACATCTAATTTGATTGTAACATTCTAGTTATCATTCCTTCTTTTCCCAGTGTTTCCTATCATTGTTATATTGATTTGCTTTCTGCAGCTTTTGTTGTGCTTAGCTATTCAACAAGTGGCAAAAGACTACACCTATCTTGTTTTCAGAGGAATGCATAAGTATTGGTGAATTTGCTAAATCAATAAATAAAATAAAATAAACTCCAACAAACTAAACATGAAAAATGCTTAGATCAATTAGTAGATGGTTCATTTTTGAAATATAACAATGTGAATTTGTTCTTTGAAGACAAAAACCAATCAACGCTTTTTTTTTTTTGGTGTAACAGGTTTTTTTGAGGGCAATCAAATGTGCCTTTATAGCATGCTGCAGCATGAAGAAATATAGTAGGAAATCCTTTCTCTCTTCTCATTGTGAAGGGCCTCAGTTTACTGTAGCACATCAGTGATTCCAGTGAGACTATTTCTGCATTAAGATATTGCTCTTTATAAGAGGTCCAAGAGTCTGGCCTAAAATCCTTGCTCATTAGGAATTTTCTAGTAATTATCTCAATCTGCTTTTTTGTTTTAATTTAGGTATTCCTTTTTAGAAAAAAATAAAAAACTTATTTCCAGTGTTAGCAGGCTTTATAGCAGAAAAAATTTCACCTTCAGATGTTGAGGTTTAAATTTTAGCTGCTAATAAGTACGTTTTGTAGACATGAATCTGCTATAAAACTCGTGTTTGCATGCCCTGAGACACACGTTCTGTTGAGTAAAGATAGAAAACATATTCAGTGGTGTCTCTCTTAAGAACTCTATGACCCAAGTACCAGGAATGCAATAAATAAGGATGGGATTGTAATAAGTAAGTCACATGGATGCATCTGTCCAGAAAGTGTCCAGTTCTAAGTGGTACTATTATACCACTTGCTTTTGTGATTGTTCATGTTACTGATTACACACAGCAGAAATCTGAAATTGCATTCTGGATATTGGACTTGTGAAGTTGCATCAACTTTCACACTGATCTTAAGCAACAGGAATCTGAGAGCAAAATAGCAAATAAAACTGATTAATAGGAATATTATTTTGTCTTAATTTTTTTATATACTCCTTTTTAGTTTCAGAAATCATTAGTAGGATAGAGTTTTCCAAAGAAATAAAAACTCAAGTATGTATTAACTGTAAAAATAGTGCTGCATATTCGTAGATGTTCATTATGGTGACAAAAGAGGAAGAAGAGGAGGAATTAGTTAAAAGAAGAGATTGCAAGGATTAACATGAGGAGTTAAAGGAAAGGAGAGTAAACTGAGCTGATTTTTATGATAAGTTTATAATAATACCTCTTAGATCGTGAGAAAGCCTCATAGTGGAGAGTGCAAAAGCTTTGAGTCTTGGGCACTGAAAGCTGAACATTTTAGCATACTGTGTAATGTGGATTTCATATTACACGTGAACCTTATGGCAGAATAGGCCCAACTTCTATTGGAAAATCACATTTCTGCAGCGCTTAAGGACCCCGCAGCATGAGGAGTGTTGGAGTTTTAATGATGCACTTGTGTCTGTGAGAGCCGCGTGCTGTCGTGTTCAGATAATGACGCTACTTTGGTTTTAATGCCTTATAGGGACACAGACGGAAGAATGCTCTTAGATATTTTTGATGAAAACCTTCATCCCCTTTCGGTAAGTTCATCTGCCTCTTCTTCCCTTTCATGTGAACTGTCTGTCTTTCTGTCTGCTTCGTTTTGTTTCAGTCACCTATTTGGAAGTATTTCTTCCTTAGAAATCCGAAGTGCCACCAGACTATGACAAACATGACCCGGAGCAGAAACAGATTTACCGCTTTGTTCGGACGTTGTTCAGTGCTGCTCAACTGACTGCTGAATGTGCCATTGTCACCCTGGTAAGTGTCTGAGAGATGACGTCAACGATCTGACAGACTTGTCGTTGTTCTCAAAGCTTGGGTTTGTATGATTAAATACATCTAGGTGCTGCCAGGGAATTTTTTCTCACCATGGAGACCAAGGGAATTGTTCTATGGGAAGAGATACTACAGTTCATTTTCTTGCAGAGACTAAGTGATGGAAGAAGAGATTGGGTGACATGCGACACAAAAGCCAGGATTACATCCTACCCTCACAGAGTGATAATGTTACGGTCACCAGGGTGACTAGTAGACAACGCAGGTGGCATAAGTGGTCTGAACAGAAGGGAATGTCAAAAGCAGGAAGGCTTACGCTTTTGGGGATTTGCTGTGTATCATTGTAGCTCCCAGCAGAGGCTCGGGAACAGCTGTAGGTAATTTAATCACACTGATAAGAATTGATGCACACATGAAGGATTTGGTGAGTGACTGGGACATGTTGGTGATGGCTCTTTTTTACTTGCGCTGTACTTGTCTTTCAGGACCATGTCATAGGATTGAACAATTGTACTCAAGGCTGAAGTTTAGCTACTTAAAAATAGCACAACACAAAAGAAGGTTCAGATTTTCAGCTGCTGTGGATCAGCATAGCAATGTGGATTAAAGGAGCTAAAGTGATCTTCACCAGCTGAGAATTTCTTAATTTTCCTGAGATTTTTATCCTGCCAACTCTGACAAGCCTCTTCAGCTTTCAGGCACGATTTTGGCCATGTTCTTAACTCAGTGATTTTGAAAAAACAAAATGTTTTTTTACCGCTGCAACATGTGGTTTCATAACAGCTTTGTTATGCACTTGAGATGGAAGAAGCGGAAATCGGAGAAGGTGGATTTTGAAGCCCAGACCTACTCATTTCCTCTGTTAATCTCTCTCCTTTAGCTTCTAAGATTAGTTGGCAGGCTTTTCTTCTTCAGTCAGAATGAGTTGTACTAGCCAGTACAGAACAGGAATATGAGAGAAATAGGGCAAGAAACACCCTGCAGTGCTCCACCTTTACATTTTGAAGTATTACTCTACCTGCTTGACCCAGCCACTACTTGTTTTCTGAAATGACGTTTTGTCTCTCTCTTTTGCATAATTGCACTAAGTACTTGTCCTTCTTCCTTTTCTTCGTAAGTGTTTTCTGCTAGAGGCAAGATATGTTGTGTGACTCAGTATGTTCTTGTGTAATCTAATTAATCTACTGTGTAATACAGTGGAACCTTGTAGTTATCTATTGTTCGATCTTAGGTTATTTGATCAATGAGGGCACTGTTTAGTAGAAAGGAAGAGGCCTCTTTTTTATTAACAATATCTTCCTGTTGTTGCAATGCATAGAAAGTTCTTCCCCACAAATCTTGTTAACCCAGGCATATATTTCAATGTCTTTCATTTGTAACTACTTCTTGCCTCTTCTGGTTCTTATATGGTTTCCCTGCAAGTAACTCTTTTGATGTGATCTGCAATGAAGTGTAAATGTTTTTAACTCATTTGCTATGTTGCAGAGGCAGTTTCTATAGTTGTTAGTACTTGAAAACTTCGGTGGCTTGGGTTTTTTACCCAACACAGTGATAACAGATAAACTGTTTTATAGCCTATTTCTCAACGCTGCCATACAGATGTTTGCAGATGGATTTGGTGCAAGTGATCAGCATTACTATTCTGCTATTCTTGAATATGTTTTCAAGATATTAACACCTGCCTGACCTCTCTTTCCAGAAAGCTTCAGAGTTTTTGGATAACGAGTGTTTTACAAGTATGAAATTCTGCTGCTACTATTCTCAATTTCCTCTGTACTTCTAGATCCCATGTCTTTGTTTGTGTCATCAAGAGGGGCCCCAGAGACAGATGTTGTTTCTAAAATGTTCAAATGTGGAAATTAATCTGTTAAAAAGCAATCAACCCTTCCCCCCTCCCCACACTCCTGAAATCTTAATAGTGTTGATATTGCTATTTATGAACCCTCCAAGTGCTTTCAGTGTTGATATCCTGTCTGGAGAAGAAGAGAGCAGCATTCCCTGCTAGAGCTTATGTTTTGCCATAGTCTGGCCGTCCGTCGGATAGTGATCTGATAGCCCTGTCTGCCACTTGTTCCTCCTGGGAGGGTTGCCAGAATGCAGGAAATATATCTTGGGAGATCACAGTACATTTTGAACAAGATGCTACAACTATTATCTTTCTTTCACTCACTCTAATTATTTTTAAACAGTCCTAACCATCTCTTTTTTACTGCCGAAATTATTAACGTGGTCTAAGGTGTGTAGTTGAATGCACATGCTCTTTGTCTTTTTACATGCCCTTAGCCAGGTAGAAGCAGCAGTTACAGTTGGTTATATAGCAGTCTGTATGTTCAGCACAGGAGCTGAGTAAATGTGAAACTCCAGACCGTTAAGAGAAGCTAGTCTCCAGCAAAAAGCTGGCATTGTGTTGCTTCAAGCACTTAATTAAAATGTTTCAATTAAAGCCTCCACTATTACAGCAAAACCAATTTATAATTAAACAAAAAATTTAATTTTCACACAGCCTCCAGAGCTGCCAAGAGATTTCCCATACCGATAGGTGAAAAATTAAAATCTTAGGTTGAAACGATTAAATACTAATTCACATTATTTATTTATAAAATAATACCATAAGAATAAAATTAGTTTTAGAAATTGTGTTGCTGATTTAAAGTTTTGCAAATAATGTTTTTTGTCCCAGTGAACAGCCGAAGTATACTTTGTGACCTAACTTTGTGAGAAAAATTATGCGCATGTGCTTCTCCCTCGACCCAGAGTATTCCCACCCTTGCCTAAAACTGAGAAATGCCTGTCTCATCTTCACTGTCTCCTTAAGTGCAGAGGTGGCAAGTTGTACTTAGGTTAATCTACTAATTGGATAGCAAATAAAAAGATGAACAGGAGTGTTATCCATACTAGAAGGAAAACAATACAGTGTTTCCATGTCATGAGAATTAAATATTTATGCTTTGTTATTTTGTTCTGTAAAAACAATCCTATTAACTAGACCTGAAGAGGAGAACAGTCCAGGTTTTCTGCTTTGCCTTGGCATGACTTTCTGAGTTTTTTGCAAATAGGCCAAATCTAAAGCTCCTATTATACTTCTGTGTCCATAGTCGTTTCAGAGGATACATTTTGCATTTGCAAATATGCAAATAGGAGATACGCTAGGTCTGTATGCTTCAGACTGATCAGATACGGTGATTGTACATGAGCTGAATTATTTCTGTGAAGTTCAGAGGAGCGTACTTTTGAAATATGTTACAAAGTTCATGCTGTGACTGAGAGGATTTGACATTGGGAAATCTGAAGTACGTAAGAAGAAGTTCTACTTATGAAAAATAGGGATTTAATTAATCCAGCCAGATGTTCCTGAGTTCTTATTGTACTCTTCAGTTACATTTTCAGCAACTAGGTAGAGAGAGAATATTGTTGAACTCTGTTGTGAAAATTATTGTATTTGAAGAGAGTTTTGTTTTCTGTGTGTTGGGAGGAAAGGGGAAAGCTTTTAATTGATTTCCCTTTCACTGGGATGTTTTTACTTTTAAATGCTGATAAAGTACCTTTTTTTTTTTTTGGTATATCAATTGAAGTATCAAAAATCTCATACTTGTTTAAAAGAAGACAAAGAAAGTGATCAGAGTCCATAGAGACACTTGATCTGCAGCAGAGGGCCTTTTCAGCTGGCCCAGTATAACTACTGATTCTTATGCAGCTAATGGAAGATGCAGGTTCCTCTGAAGACCTCAGGGTACAATGCAAAGTACTATTTATTGCCTGGTTTGACACTGTCACTCTTCATCCAGTGACCATAAGGGATCATGAGTGTAGTTGGGTGGGCAAGGCAAAGCGTTGGAGCTGGACTCTGCCTTGTGTAAGAAAACCATGAGAAGAGTTGTGTGTATCCAATGTTGTTGGTATTCACCTTTTGTCCTGGGCTCCAAGCATTCTCTGGGAGGTGGCCAAAGCTCACTGCTTTGCCACATCTGAAGATGGTCTCCCAGGCGGAGAGAGAAGGTCTCTCACCTGTGCCGTTGGCAGCTGACCATGTGTTCAGGGTATGCTCTGGAGAAGGCCAAGAGGAACAGGGACTTCTTACCTGTGCTTCGGGCACTGGTGGGAGCTGAAGACTCAGGTTGTGATCACTGGTTGTAGGGTTATTCTCATCTTTTGACTACAGTCTAACGTACAACACATGGATGATTATCTGTTAGTACTTATACATCTCTTCGTCAAGTCTTGCTTTAGGCCTGCTGGGATATGCACTTCATAAAAAGAGAACATTCAAGCTAGGGGTTGGGAGGGATTTTTTTTTTAAATCTTCAAGAGAAGAGGACATTCAGTTAAAGAACGGGTGTTTGCTTCCTGATGCATCTCTAAGGCTTCTGTGTGGGCAAGGAGTGAATACTGATCCCAGTTTTAGACTGGAAGATTGATATTGCCTAATAGTTTAAATGCATTTTATATGTATTACAGAGCTTTTGTATTACAGCTTTGTCTTCAAATGAGTAAATTAGGGGGCAGACTTGGAGATGTGTGACTTTTTCCTCAGTTCCATTAGTGCTTTCTATAAATACCTACAATGGTACTTTGCAGTTGTTCATGTTTTCAGAGTTTTGTGACTGCATTTGTTATTCTTTTTCAACATTTGGTGTCAAAAATAAAAACTGGATGAATTTGCAAGGACCATGATAATGTGATGTCCTTTTCTACCAAATGGATAACACCAGACCTTTGTGGAACATTTTAAATGCCCAGCTGGGCAATTGTAAAGCACAGTTATTTCTGGAGAATCGTGGTAGGGAACTGGCTGATTGCTTAGAACAGAGCATATGGCAATTTAGTGATTGGGTTAGAGCCATAATTGGGCTATATGGGACCCACTACCAATTATATTTTTTTTCAGTACAAATATCTTTTTAGTTTCAAGGCACTGTGACACACTGAAGTTTTCTCATTAAAGAGTGAGGACTCTGTCTTTCTTTGTAATGTGTTGGAATGGA